TTTGGTCCAACCTTCTTATTCACCCTCCAGACTTGGAAATAGCATAAAAGTCTATAGCATAAGCAATCACAAGGGAGAAAATATGATCTAAGTTATTTCAAAGAGAAAAGAAAAATAAAAACTAAGTACCCACTATGGGGATGACAAAGTCTAATTTAAAAAGCAAACAAGAAATCTTTGTGACTTTGGAATAAAGATTGCATAGATATGACACAAAAAGTGTGAACCATAAGAATAAACATTGATAAATTGGATCTTGATAAAAAACCATTAAGTAACGTAGACACTTAGGAAGATAATGTTTGCAACACACATAGTAAACAAAGAATTTATATCTAGAAAATAAAAGAACTCATGAAACTTAATAATAAGAACAGAAACAATCCAACAAAAAAAATGGGCAAAGATTTTAAACAGATACTTCACAAAAGATCTATGCATGTCCAATAAGCACAGGAGAAAATGTGTAACATTATTACCCATGGGAGAAATGCAATCAAACCACAATGAGATACCACTTCTCACCCGGTATCATGGTTACAATAGAAAAGATGGACAATGACAAGTGTTGCCAAGGATGTGACAAAATTGTAACTCTCAAAATTGCTGCTGGGGAATGTAAAATGGTGAAGCCACACAAGTAAACAGTTTGTCAGCGTCTTAAAATGTTAAACATAGATTTACCATGTGACCAGTAATTCCACTCCTAGGTATCTACTCAAGAGGAATGAAAACACGTCCACACAAAAACTAGTGTGCAAATGTTCACAGTAGCATTTTTCTTAACAGTCAAAAGGTAGAAACAAATCAAATGTCTTATCAACTGGTGAACTGATAAACAAAACATAGTATATCCTGACACCGGAATTCTTTTCTTTCTTTGGAAACAAGAGTCTCACTATGTCACGCAGGCTGGAAAGCAGTGGCACGGTCTGGGCTCTCTGCAACCTCTGCCTCCCGGGTTAGGCGATTCTCATGCCTCAGCCCTCCAAGTAGCTAGAATTACAGGTGTGGGCCACCACTCCCAGCGAATTTTTGTATTTTTTAGTAGAGACAGGGTTTCACCAAGTTGGCCAGGCTGGTCCTGATCTAAGTTATCCCGATCTCAAATAATCTGCCCGCCTAGGCCTCCAAAGTGCTGGGATTAGAGGCATGAGCCACCACACCAGGCCTGACATTGGAATTCTAGCTACTGTGTAATAAAAAGTAACCAAGTATCGATACATGCTACAACACAGATGAACCTCAAAACATTATCCTGGGTGAAAGAAGCCAAACACAAAAGACCACAGATTGTATGAGTCTATCTATACAAAAATGTCCACAAAAGGTAAATCTACAGAAAAGAGCAGATTCATGGTTCCCTAGGGATGAAGCAGAATTGAGAAGTAACTGCAAATGATACAAAGTTTCTTCTGGAATGGAAATGTTCTAAAGTAAGACTGTGGTGATAGTTACACAACTCTGCAAATATGCTACCAACCACAGAGTTGTACACTTAAAACAGGTGAATGTTATGGTATGTAAATTAAACTTCAATAAAGATTTACAAAAAGAAACATATGCAACCTCATTAGTCATCACTGAAATGCAAATTAAAATCACAGTCAAACAACACTGCACATCTACTAGAATGGCTAAAATTTAAAAGACTGACAATATCAAGCGTTGCAATGATAGGAAAGAAGTAGAACTCTCATTTTTCTTTCCCACCAACAGTTGGTAGGAACATAAAAGGGTGTAGTGCGTTTGAATATTGTCCCCCAAAACGTTATGTCCAAATCCAAAAACCTGGCCTGTATGAATGTAACCTTATTTGGAAAAAGTGTCATTGCAGATGTAATTAACTTGAGGCTCTCAAGGATCTCGAGATCATCCTGGATTTAGGATGGGTCCTAATCCAATGACTGGCATTCTTTGAAGAGAAAGAAGAGAGAGATTTGAGCCACAGAAACAGAGAGAAGGCGGCCATGTGAAGATGGAAGCAGAGATGTTATAAAGTGATGCTACCACAAGCCAAGGAACACTAGGGACCACCAGAAGCTGGAAGAAGCAAGGAAGGAGCTTTCCCTAAAGTCCTTCAAAGGGAGTGTGACCCTGCTGACACCTTGATTTCAATGCCTGATCTCCAGACTGTAAGAGAACAAATTTCTGTTGTTTAAAGCCACCAAGTTTGTGGTAACTTGTTGCAGCAGCCACAGAAAACTAAAACAAATGGTCAAATCACTTTGGAAAACTGTTTGGCAATTTATTCATAAGGTTAAACAAAGAACTCCCCTATAATTAAGCAATTCCATTTTGGGACATTACCCGACAGAAATTTGGGGCATTACCTGACCTAGGAAACAGTCATACATCAATGGTCATAGCAGCTTTTTTCATGAATCCAAAACCAGAAACAGTCCAAATGTCTAGCAACAAGTGCATGAATAAACAACATGTGGTATATCCATACAGTGGACCACTAATCCACAACAAAAAGGAACAAACTATTGATACATACAACAACATGGATTAATCTCAAAAATCATTATGCTGGCCAGGCACAGTGGCTCACGCCTATAATCACAACACTTTGGGTAGCAGAGGAGGGTGAACGGTTTGAGCTCAGGAGTTCCAGATCAGCCTGGGCAACATAGCAAGACAGCATCTCTATTTAAAAGAAAAATCATTACGATGCATGAAAAAAAAAGACCCAGAAGTATATACCGTATGCTTCCATTTATACACAATCTAGAAAATACAGATGCATCTACAGAGACAAAAAACATATCAGTGGTGGCTTGGGGGCCAAGGTGGAGGGAAAGACTAACCGCAAATTAGCAAGAGGGAACAGAAATGTTCACTATGCCAACTGTGGTGGGTTTTGCAGGTACATACATTTGTCAAAACGGTTCAAATTGTACACTAAAAATGGTTGCAAATGACTGTATGTAAATTATACCTCAATGAAGTTGATTAGAAAAAGAGAAAATAATTCATGAGTCATTAGACATTTTACATTTAAAACAACTATTTATACTTTGTTCTACCCAATAATATTAAGTAAACAAATTTTAAATGAAAAGCAAATGTTTTAAAGAAAAAAGGATGACAACTTGCTCTACCAATTCAACATGCTTCACAAGCAGAAAATGGAAAAAGCCTGGAATTTGGAGTTAGAAGACCTGGCCCAGAGTGCTAGTTTCGCCTAGCAACCAAGTGGCCTTGGGAAAGTCACGATTTCTACAAGTCTCAGTTTCCACATCTCTAAAATATGGATGACACTAATAACTACTTCACAGGCAATAGTTATGGTTTCAATCGAGCAAGAGCTCCTTTGGCACAGGGATTCTATTTCAGCCAAAATTATAATCTCAACATATGGCAAATAATAGGTGCTCAATAAATCTTCACAGAATAAATGAATTACTTTAAAAATAAACCTGAAAGATGAGAAAGACATCATTCACAACACCATAAGGTGACATTTGTTTCTTTGCACTGTGTAAACTAAAGCAGAAGGGTCACCTTCTTTGTGCTTATCTTTAGCATATTATCCACATCATATCCAGACTCAAGCATGACTTCAGGTCCCTTATGAAATACTGCACTAACTCAGGTCAATAGAGAGCAGATTTTATATCTTAAATCCTTAGATGCATTGCCCTAAAACAGACTCACTTGTAAGATGAAATTCTATGAAAGCAAGACAATTCTGTGTCTACATTATTTAACACTGATATTCACCGCCAATATTTGCTTAACATAGAGTAGGCACCAAATAACATGTGCAAAGGCCCTGTAGCCACATGAACTTCAGGGAAGAGTAACTTTTAAGAAGGCCGAATAGTAACTTTTAAGAAGGCCGAAGTGACTGGCCGGGAGACAGCAGAGTGTCATGTTCAATGGGATTGTGAAAACAGGTAGGGCCCAGACCATGCAGGATCTTGCAGGGTAGGCAATGTGAAGTTTTTTCTTTATCCTGAGAGCAACAGAAAGCCATGGAATATTTTTAAACACGTGGTTGGCAGAGTAAGGAGACAGGAAAGGGACATAATTAGATTTTCATTTCACGAAGATCTTACTCTAGGGTGTGCAGAAGAGAATCGTTGTTGGGGGAAGGAAGAGAAAGTGGAGGAAGAGTTAAGTTAGGATGTCGAGTGAATATAGGCCAATCAAGAGACTATTCCAACAGTTCATTAAAAAGATAATAGTACCTTGATGGAAAAAAAAAGTGGATAGATTCCCAATATACACAGATAAATCAACAAGATCTGACTTTGGGAATGAGAGAAAGGAAAACACTCCATTCTTCTGGGCCTCAGTTCTTCACCTGTGAAGCAGGGTGTTGTTTATACTCTATCTGTCTATCTATCTTGCTGTGACAATGATATGAAATAATTTAAATATTGTGCACCTAACACAGTGCCTGACCCACAATAAATGCTTTTTTAAACCGCTATTGCCATTATCATGGTCATCCCATGGAATGGCAACTACCAGAAACTGAACACTAAAGATGAAGAAAAGCAATGTAGTTAACGATTCATATACACAGCGCTGAAAGGACACAAACTGTATCAGCTGGTGACTGAGACAACTGTTCCAAAGAAACACAGCTGACCGCCGATTTCTACTAAGCCGATCTCAGTCACGATTCGGTCCTCAGAGACCATTAGGAGATAGCACAGCTGGTATGATCACAGTCATCTGAGAGTCCGGTAAACTGAGGCACAGGGATGGCTACAAATTTAACCCAGGAATACGTGCAGAAGAACGACAAGAAAATGGGTATCTTGCTTCTCATTTTTGGGCCGATCGAACAGGATTCGGCCTGCATCCTGAACAGCACGAATTTGTAACACCCCCTCCAATGTCTCCACGTCCCTTGCTGACAAGGCCCTGTCACCCCTTAGCTTAACACCATGCATCCGCTCGCCATCAAACCAAGCCCTGCAGGTTCCCTGTTCCTAGCTCCCAGCGCACGAAGAAGCCCAGGCCCCAGGAGCCCAGAATACCTTAGCTTCGCGCTCTCGTTCCTCGGCGGTCGGGGTGCGCTTCATGCTGCCACTAAAAGCCGCCTTCGCCAAGCGAGCAACGTACATCCCTCACCCTGGACCCCGCCTCCTGTATGTAGTTCTCTCAGCGTCCTGCTCCCGCCTGGAGCCATTCTCCCTCAGAGCTGAGAAAACTACAACTCCCAGGATGGACCGCGGCGAGGCCCGCGAGCGCCTCGGGGTTGGGAGCACGAGAATTTCCCAGGGCCGACAGCTGGGAAAGCGTAGTCCGCTACCCCGCGAGCCGACGGGCTGGAGTCCAAAGAGAACTACATTTCCCAGGAGGCAACGGGGGCCTGCCATGTTTTTCCCGTGTTCCTCTCGGCCAGCCGCCCGCCACGCTGTCGGCGCTATAGCAACGGTAGCTAGCGGCAGGACCAGTGGCGCGGTGAGTACTCGGGGAGGATGAGGGAGGATGGTGGTGGGTGGAGGTTGCGGACCCTCCCTGTGCAGCTCGGGCCAGGGTCCTGGGGTCCGCTCTGAGGCCTAGAGAAGGCCCTGGAGTTCTGCTCGCGTGAAAGCAACCCAGCTTGAGACACCTCCACATTCTCAGGCCTGAATCACAGCCCGCCCCTTTATCCCAGCGTCCAGGATCAACTTGAAATGTTATATCCCAGCCATGAAGGTGAGAGTTGATGCTGCTAATTGCCGTCTTTATCCATATCCTGCAAATTGAAGATCCCTAACACAGTTTGCTCGTTTGCCCTTGATTGGGAGTTGGTTGGTAGACCCTAAACCTCCTGAGTGGCCTATTGTTTGCTTAATTGTATATTATTTGTTTATCGTTTGATTACTTCCATAATTTGCTAGTTTCATAGAGGCGGGGACTTTGCTTGCCATTTTAATCTCAGTGCCTGGTATCCATGTATTCATTCAATAAGTTTTTTTCTTTTTCTTTTCTTTCTGCTTTGCAAAATACTGGGATTACAGACGTGAGCCACCACGCCCAACCAATCATTCAATATATATTAATGTTAGTTACCACCATGTACCAGGCACTGTTCCTGAACAGCTGTGAACAAAACTAATACCCGTCTTGAGGTGTTTATACTTTTTTAGTGGAGACAAACAATAATTTTATCTGATAATTTCACATAGAGGCAGTTGATATAAGAGAAACAAGCCGGGCGTGGTGGCACGCACCTGTAGTTCCAGCTACTTGGGAGGCTGAGATGGGAGGATCACTTGAACCCATGAATTCGAGGCCAGCCCAGGCAACAGAGCAACACCCTGTCAAAGAAAGACAGAGAGAGAGAGAGAGAGAGAAGAAAAGAAAAGAAATAAACAGTGAAGAAATCTAAGGAAGACGACTCCAACATAAGATGATCAGGGAAAGCCTGTCTGAGGAAGTGAGCTGAGCTCCAAAGATTGAGGAGCCAGCTAATACAAAGGCCTTGAGCAAGACAAGGGTATGGGGGGTTCGAGGAAAGTAAAAGAACAGTACTATAGGTGGAACATAGTGAGCAAAGAGGGATAACGTGAGATGGTGTTGGAGAGGCATTGCAGCACTGTGTAGGGTTACTCAGTTTCAACATTATTATTAGCATTTTGGGCTGGATTTGTTATTCTCCTAAGCATTGTTAGATATTTTTTACATCATCCGTGGCCTCTACTCACTAGATGCCAGTAGCATCCCCCTTCCTTATTGTGACAACCAAAAATATCACCGGACACAACTATTAATACTTCTAGGCCGGGTGCGGTGGCTCAAGCCTGTAATCCCAGCACTTTGGGAGGCCGAGGCGGATGGATCACGAGGTCAAGAGATCGAGACCATCCTGGTCAACAAGGTGAAACCCCGTCTCTACTAAAAATACAAAAATTAGCTGGACATGGTGGCGCGTGCCTGTGATCCCAGCTACTCAGGAGGCTGAGGTGGGAGAATTGCCTGAACCCGGGAGGCGGAGGTTGCGGTGAGCCGAGATCGCGCCATTGCACTCCAGCCTGGGTAAGAAGAGCGAAACTCCGCCTCAAAAAAAAAAAAAAATACTTCTAACTGCTACCTTAAGTGAGTTAACTAATCTGTGTCTCAGCTTCCTGATTTGTAAAGCAGGAATCATTTGAGTAACAACCTCACAAGGAAATGGTGAGACACTTCATTAATTTGTATAGGCAGAGCACTTAGAACACTACGTGGCACATAAGTATTTAGTGAATGTTAACACCATCATCATCATCATCATCATCATCATTATCCTCATTATTTTTAAAGTGACCTTAACACTGTCATGAAAAACTACTCATTTTCACACATGGGCTTGTGTGTCAACAGGATCCTAAAAATTGACCTTTTCTATAGCAGTATTTCCAAAAGAAGTAGATGATCTCCCAAGAATTTGTCTGTTAGCTGTTTCTGTAACAGCAAAAAGCAATGGTTCTCCACCATTTGTGAGTTACAATCAAAGTTGTGAACCCTCTTTAAAAGATATTGCATATACACATATAAAATTTGGTAAACGATCTCTAGGTTCACAGACCCCACAGACCCCATTCATTCATTCAACAACTATTTGAATGCCTGCTCTCAGAATGTGCCAAGCTTTGTGCTAGCCTCCAAGAATACAGAACTGAACAAGGCAATAAAGCTTGCTACTGTCTTGGTCTTCACATTCTAGAACCAATATCCTAGAGCTTAAGAACTCTGCCCTTTAGTGTACCTTCATTCACAGTGTGCCTTTAGCTTACTAGGTAGATTGAAGTGAAAATATAAAATCCTTTTTTTTTTACAAAGTAGATATTGTGTGGACCACTCACATCCACATACAAAATAAAGTTACTGCATTTCTGTAAAAAATAGAAACTATTGGCTGGGCGTGGTGGTTCACGCCTGTAATCCCAGCACTTTGGGAGGCCGAGATGAGTGCATCACAAGGTCAAGAGATCAAAACCGCTGGGCGCGGTGGCTCAAGCCTGTAATCCCAGCACTTTGGGAGGCCAAGGCGGGTGGATCACGAGGTCAAGAGATGGAGACCATCTGGTCAACATGGTGAAACCCCGTCTCTACTAAAAATACAAAAAATTAGCTGGGCATGGTGGCACGTGCCTGTAATCCCAGCTCCTCAGGAGGCTGAGGCAGGAGAATTGCCTGAACCCAGGAGGCGGAGGTTGCAGTGAGCCGAGATCGCGCCATTGCACTCCAGCCTGGGTAACAAGAGCGAAACTCCATCTCAAAAAAAAAAAAAAAAAAAGAGATCAAAACCATCTTGGCCAACATAGTGAAACCCCATCTCTACTAAAAATACAAAAATTAGCCGGGTGTGGTGGTGGATGCCTGTAGTCCCACCTACTCGGGAGGCTGAGGCAGGAGAATTGCTTGAACCTGGGAGGCGGAGGTTGCAGTGAGCCAAGACCACGCCATTACACTCCAGCCTAGCGACAGAGCGAGACTCTGTCTCAAAAAAAAAAAAAAAGAGAGAATAGAAACTATAAAAATACCAGAATTACCTAGACAGCCTATATTTGGAGGTATTTGAACCCTGGGCAGGACCTAAGCTCCACAGCAACAAAAGCAGGACACACAGAAAACAAACCCAGTTGGTAAATGTATGCCACAAAACCTCTTTCACAAAACTTGGAACTGCCCACTCATTTGTACATCAATTACACAATTAATATTTAAGTAATATTGACATCCCAGGCACATGTGCTCAGTGCTTTTAATTTACTCATCTCATTTACCCTTAGAATAACTCTCTGAGATCGGTATTATTTTCTCCATTTTTTAAACTGAGGGACTGAAACTCGGAGAAGTTAAGTGGCTTGACCAATTTGTTACTGATAGGGCAACCATTTGAATCAAGTTCCTGACCTGAGTTTTTTGCAAGATACCTGCTTCCTTTTGGAGGCTGGGGAGAGGGAAGGGATGGAGAGGAGGTATTTCTTAAATGATAATCTTACCTGATTTCCTAAGCAAATTATACGAAATACACTGTTGAAAGGAACACTGTCTCCATGATTGAATGTAGTAGTACTTTTAGAATAGAAGCTTTCATCTTCAGGCAGCACATGTGGACAATAAGATGCCCATTAAAGTTCTAGTCCCTTTTTCATTTTATTCACTTCATTCCATTGCATAGTTAATGTAATAACTTGGAAAGAGTTTGAATTTTCTTTTCTCCACAGCTAGGCCATGTCTGGTCCAACTGATGAAACTGCAGGAGACTTGCCTGTGAAAGACATAGGTCTAAACCTCTTTGGAATGGGAGGGTTACAAGGTATGGCCAGCTGTTATTTATTACAGTTATGAACTTTGATCACTGACTTCTTTACTTTTAATTTAAAGTATTTCTGATACTCATACAGACCAAACCATTTAAGTAACTATATAGTCTTTGATTGGACTAAACAAAAAGTTGGAAGGTTTTAAACACATATGGCATTTTACTACATGCATCCATTATCAACAGCTCATAGAAAATGTACAGTTCCCCCCTCTGTTCTGATAAAGAATTAACATAAATCATCTTCTTAAAATTCCTCACATCAGTAGAAACTACATAGAGAGTATCTAGCCTCCAAACTGAATTGCCTGGTTTAAATTACATTCAATATTAAAACATTTCTTTATGTTTAAATTTTATATGGGAGGAAAGGCCATATTTTAAACATTTTGCGTTTTAAGTAGAATATCTCACATGATAGTGACTTTTGTATCAAATTAATATGGATTAAAAGTTTTCTTTATTCTTTTGTCACTTAGTGGCAGTAGAGCTAAAAAGCACTTTCAAATTGAGAAAGAAAAGCACTACTTTAAAGAACAACTTAGAATAGAGAGCTGTGTTTATCTTTGTGTGTAGAGTGTATCAGCCATGTTGGCATGCATGTATCAATTATCAACAACTCTTAGAAGACGTAAAATCCTCCTCTAGCCTGAATAGGCTAGGGATTTAAGATACATTCCACTCAGGAATCTACAAATACTTTTTAATCAGACCAGTGTAAATGGCCACTTGTGAAAACTTCAGAAAAGTGATCAGAGTATTGTTTATTGAAAAAAATAAAGTTTGGCTACACAGATTTTTTTTTTTTTTTTTTTTTTTTTTTTGGTTGGAGTCTGGC